AAAAAAAAAAAAAAAAAAAAAAAAAATCGGATTGGTCAAATACTTATCAAGCTGGCAGCCATATTGATTAGAGAGGTCGAAGTAGATTTAGCAGCAGTGGTTCTTTTAATGATCACCATTCAGCAGGGTTTGCAGATTGCTTTTATTTATTCTTTTCTGGTCTTTATAAATGTCCAATGCAATGTTGAAATCTTGAGACCGAGGGCTTCTCTTCTGTCAAGTTATCATGAAGTCTTATTAGGGTTTCTACATACTCAGAACGATTGCTTGCAGTACATGCATGTAGATCTTTCTGCAGTTGTATCCTTCTGTAGTTGTCTGGGTATTAGACAATGCATAAGACTTTTTTTATGGATCTTCAAGGTTTTATTAAAGGAATAACTTCTTTTGTATTCTATCATTGATATCTTTCACTTTTTTTTTTTTTTGTTACGTGGAAGATTGAGGATATGGTTTCTAAGTTCAAGAGCATGCACTTGGAATTGGACATCAAGCCTTCATCTGTTTCATATGAGAAGCTCATCTGTTACTGTTGTGGTTCACTTAAGGTAAGGTACTGGGGGAAGATTGATAATCATAAATTTGTTTTGAACTACAGCGAAAACCTTTGCTTATTTAGAGTAAGATAATTTAAATTTGTTTGTCTTATTAAAGTTACAGCGAAAACCTTTGCTTATTTAGAGTAAGATAATTTAAATTTGTTTGTCTTATTAAAGTTACAGCAAAAACCTTTGCTTATTTAGAGTAAGATAATTTAAATTTGTTTGTCTTATTAATATCTTGGGTGCAGTTTCGATACTGCTTTGAAATTAGCTTTTTTCTTTTTAAATCTGATGTAGGTGCATATGGCTCTTGATATAGCAAATGAAATGTGTGATGCAGATTTCACACCATCCACAGATGTCTTGCACTCCATTTTACATGCTATGGATGAAGGCTGTGAGTTTAATTTGGTAAGTGTTTTGTCTTCTCTATTTTTAACTAATATTTGAAGTTAAATTAGTATTGTATGTCATGTGGTGTCTTCCATTCACATCTTCTTTTGGTTTTTTGCTTCTCATTATCTTGATATTTGCACTTTATATTTTGAACTTGCGTTCTTGAAGGACCTATGACAGAAGTTCCATTATTTTATTTTGTTTTATTTTTTGTTTTATATCCCTTAGGTGAAAGAATAAGATTGAATTTTAATAATTTGTGATGATATGGTTTACTGTATTTTTGTATTTATCCTGCATGATAAAAGGCAATGTGGCAGCTACTAGGTTTGGCCAGTGATTAGTGGTGTCTTGATATCTTTTGAGGTTACTAGTTCAAATCATAATGAGCAATTATTTAGGATATTAAATATTCTATGAGTTACCTAATACCAAATGTTGTAGGGGACTGGTCCTTATTATATTCGATGCAATTTTGGGATTCTGCATTCATTTTCACTATGACAGGGGATTGCACGCCTGCCAAAATGGTGAAGGGTAGTGAAGAGAGGGAACATTAGCAAGAAAGAAATAGAGGGAAGATTAAGTAGCAGACTGATTAGCTCAGACTGGAAAGTTTGTCATACACAAACAATTTAAATTTCCCATGTTGTTTGGCCTCTATGTTTAGTTTAAAATTCCTATGTTGTTTGGCCGTATTCTCTATATATTGTTTATTTTTACTGAAGATCTCAATGAACTTCAGTGAGATTTTATCTTTTTATCCATTTTTGTGGCAGTGCAACTGATTCTGCACGTATGTTTCCATGTGATTTCCTTATTTCTCATTTCAGTTCAGTTATCATCGCTGTGTTATTACCAATAACAATTATTTATTATTATTATCCTGGCTGTGCTTATTGCCAAGGTTCATCAAGTCTATTCACTCATATGTCGCCACAACCTGAAGCCGGATAGTGAAGTGTTCAGGAGAATGATAAGTCTGTGCATCAAGATGAAAGACGTAATTTTTTACTTAAATTTTGTTTTCATGTTCATTTTATTGTTATTTTATGTGCTCAAATGTATTGCATTTCAAAAATTGAACTTTCATGGATACCAAATTTTAATTTTGCTTTATGCAGTTTAATGGTGCCTATGACATGCTTAAGGAATCTGAGAAAATGAACTTTACTCCTACAGCTAGCATGTACAATGCTATCATGGCCGGATACTTCCGAGAGGTACCTTCTTCAGTTCTATGGTCGTCCCTCCTCCCTTCTCTATAACATAAATTTGACCTGTGAATGTACTTTGTGCATTTTCTGTCCTCATAATATAAAAGTTTCATTTTACACATTCATTCTCTTATTTAATATATAAACATTGGACGATGTTAACTCTTCCAAGTACTCTGCAGAAGAACACTTCTGATGGATTGATGGTTCTCAAGCAAATGGAACTTGCGGATGTAAAACCAGATTCCAAGACTTTCAGCTATTTGATCAGCTATTGTGAATGTGAGGAGGATATTATCAAGGTTACCACAGAACTCTTCAAACTTTATGTCTAATTTTTACGTGTAACAAGAATTAGAAAACACTTTTGATATCATATGCCTGGTTTCTTTCAATTTTCATTTGCAAGTGGCTTTGCCCCAAAAAAACAATTATTTCCACAGAATTCTTCAAACTTAATGCCTAATTTTTGTGTTTCAAGAATTAGAAAACACATTTGATACAATATGCCTAATTTCTTTCTATTTTCATTTACTAGAGGCTTTGCCCCAAAAAATAACTATTACCACAGAAGTTTTCGAACTCTTATGTCTAATTTTACGTGTAACAAGAATTCGAAAACACTTTTGATATCATATGCCTAATATCTTTCAATTTTCATTTATAAGTGGCTTTGCCCCAAAAAACAATTATTACCTATGATAGTGAATGTTACTTTTGTTTCTTGAATACAAGGATGGTGAAACCTAGTCTATATTGAAGTATTTAACATACTAAAATCCTCCTAAAATGGTAGGGAGAATAAAAGTCTAGTGGAAAATGCAATGTAACATCTTTTTGTTGATTCTTCACTTGGTTTGAACAAAGGTCAAACTGACATGTTCAGAAAACGTGCCCTAGATTGCTAATGCTATTATTATTTCTTCCAATGCCTGTTTTACATAGGATAAAACACATTGAAGTCAAATTTTATTTGTTGAGGGAAGTGGAGAAAGGTGATCAAGCATGTTCATCATAGTTTTGAATCACAGCTAGCTAGCGTTCTTATGAAGTTCTGCATTATAGATATTTGAATTTTTGTATAGCAAATTTGGTCTGACAAGAAAAATTTTGAGTATCATGATTTTCAGTTTTATTATTTATTCGATAAATCTAATTTTATTCAATTATTTTCATTTATATTTGACTTACAATTATGCATTGCAAGAGAAGTTTGTTTCTCAAACATTTCAGCATGGGTAACGTTGAGGTTATACTATTGCACCTACAATATCTTTACCATTTTTTGTTCATTTACTTGCTTCTTCCTTTCAAATTCCTTACTTTTATCTATAGTATTCCAAGTTCCAACCCCGCCTAGCAAACTCCTTCTTCACAGTTAGAGGACTGTGATAAACTGCCAGCATCTATCCCATATAACTAACCTAAATGCCTAACAAACCATGTTTTGTACTAATCACTGAAGATGTTGTTTTTTAAATTCAACTATTATTCACCCTCTTTAAACTATAAAGGCCAAGCATTATATGAATAAAGTTTTGAAGCCGCTTATCTTCCTGTAGTACTATGAAGAGCTGAAGAGTTCTGGAGTTCAAGCGACAAAGCATATTTTCATGGCCCTTATAAATGCATATGCTGCTCATGGACAATTTGAGAAGGCAAAACAGGTACTTGATCTTGATCTTCGTGTTTATATTCTTATAAAGATTTTCATAAGGGTTGGCCGAAGTGTACAATGTAAGATTATTTAGATATCATTTAATCTTTTGTAGGTTATATCAGATGAAGAAATACCAGTCAAGAACTTGAATGAAATTAGAAGTGTGCTAGTCTCTGCTCTTGCTTCAAATGCGCAAATAGCTGATGCCCTGAAAATTTATGATGAAATGAAACAAGCTGGATGTAATTTGGAGCCCAAGGCTGTCATCAGTCTTGTTGTAAGTTAAACGTCTGTAATGAATGATTATTACTTCTTCTCATTTTGTCAACTAAAGAGTATTTCCCCTTTGTCTCTAGGAGCACTATCCATTCGATTGGCCGATGAACAGAATGTTTCAGTTACTTGGTGAATTGCATCATGATCTCGACGTCTGGATAGATTCTTGTCGCAGAATTCTCTTGTTTTCTGTAAAACACAATGATCTGAGGTTCATCTATGGAATTTCTTTGCGTACTTGGATGGTTTGTTTTAGATTTATTCTCGTCTCCCACGAAAGAAACTCATTGTTTGTTTCTTTTTGGTAGTTCGACTGTCGATCTATTGAAGCAGCTCAGTTACAGATGTTGTAATGATGAAGTGATGATGGGAGTTGCTTTTGATGAGGTTTGTTATTCCCTTCCCATTATATTTGTTATGTACGACTCTCCATTTAAAGCACTTTTTGATATTTTTGTTAGATAATCATTTAGTGATTTTGAAAATCTTAAAACCACTAGAAAATACTTAAAATGCTTTAGTTGGTACTTTTTCGAAAAAAATGCTTATAGAAGTTGTGAGATCCCGCATTGGTTGGGGAGGAGATCGAAACATCCTTTTTAAGGGTGTGGAAACCTCTCCCTAGCGGACACGTTTTAAAAACCTTGAGGGTAAGCCCGAAAGGGAATGCCGAAAGAGGATAATATTTGCTAGCGGTGGGCTTCAACCGTTACAAATGGTACCAGAGCCAGACACCAAATGATGTGCCAGCGAGGAGGTTGTTCCCCGAAAGGGGGTAGACACGAGGCGGTGTGCCAGCAAGGACCCTGGGCCTCGAAGTGGGATGGATTTGGTGGGGTCCCACATCGATTGGAGAAAGGAACGAGTGCCAGCGAAGACGCTGGGCCCTGAAGGGGGGTTGATTGTGAGATCTCACATCGGTTGGGGAGGAGAACGAAACACCTTTTATAAGAGTGGAAACCTCTTCCTAGCAAACGCGATTTAAAAATCTTGAGGGTAAGTTCGAAAGGAAAAGCCTAAAGAGAACAATATCCGTGGTCTGTTACATAAGTGATCTTAGGTTTGTTACATAAGTATCACTTAGTTGAAACATTTCTTTCAAAATTCATCTCAATCTCACCCTAAAATGCCATAAAGCTAATGAAGAATTTGGTTTATGGGATTCGGTGCCTTTATTTACCTTTTAAGAGGAAAACATAGATGGTTCTATACAAATGGCCAGTACATCCTTCATAATCTTGTCCAAGTATTAAAAGACTACGAACCAGATGACGAGTTTTGAATCCGAGACAAATCTCCAAGCATTAACTTACAAATCGTTATCTTGTCCAGATTTTTTCCCTCATTGCAGAGTCCGAGCCATCATATTTAGAAACAGGCCTGCAATTGCTTCAATTCATAAAGAATGATCTCGGTCTATCTCCCCCACGTAGATGCCTTGATTTTCTCCTGGGTGCTTGTGCCAACGCCAAAGATGCAGAGAGCTCTCTCCTCATCTGGGAAGAATATGAAAAAGCCGGCCTCCCACACAATACTATTAGTTACTTGCGGTAAACTTATGATGTTATTGTTTATTATCTTTCCTTTGTATGAGTCCTCACTTGAACCTGTTTTGTTTTCTTCGAGCCTAAACGATCCATTTTGCGTGACTACTCTGTCCATGGGACATTTTTGCAGGATGTATCAAGCTCTCTTAGCATCTGGGGACCAAAAATCTGCAAAAGTTTTGCTTGAAAAAATTCCGAAAGACGATGCTCACGTTTGCTATGTAATCAAGGAATGCGAATCGGTTTATGTTGCCTCTTTCTCAGTAAAGAAGAAAAAAGGAAGACACAAGAAAAAGATGCTGAAAATGAGCATAAATGAAAGAGAGGTATGAATGGAGAAGTATATTAGTATTAAACTAACTTGCATTTTTGGGTTGTAGGAGTAAATTAGAGTATGATCATAGGTATGCATGTGAAGCCCTTTTATTTATTGAATCTAATATCATTTAAGACTCGACAATGTGGAAGAAAGATTAGACATTTGTTCAAGTAGATACATCATTGATAGTTGTAATAAAATCATCCACTTTTCCTTGGCAATAAAAATATGGGGAGAAATGATTGAAACTCCCTTTTCCTTTGCTCTTCTGTTTCAAATGTTTTTTCTTTTAATTTGCCGGTAGAGCTAGGATAGTTATTGTATGAGGTCTACCCAATGTAGATGTAGTTGCGCGTAATAGATCGACAGTTATTATATGAGGTCTACCTAATGCTAGATGCAGAGGTGCATAGTAGATCAATATGAACATCATGAGTTGTCCCGTAATAAAACCTGTTGCTGCTGATACTTTCTTCTCGGTTCCTCCTTCCATACTTGAGCTCGGAGAAGGAAGAGATAAGAGGACCTTATGGAGAATGTGGTCAGAAATCCATAACAGAGTCCGACCACAACGATCGTTGATTATCTTCATGCATAAAGATACTAGATTACCTAGTATAAAAGCTCGAGAAATGTAATAATAGTATATTTGACTTATAGAGATTCAAATATTTGATCTCTTAATCAATGATACATCTTTTATGTCAGTTGAACTATGTTTCCATTAGATGTCTATTCTATACTATGTTATTGATTGGTTTGGTAGAAGTAAGAAAATGATTCGTCTCTAGATATTAGTCATATCTCGAATTTGAACCAATTTTAACAATAGAACAAGGGACATTCTTTAAAATTTAAACTTATGATATCAAATTTTGGAGACTAATATTCTATAGAACTTAGTAAAGTAGTGCCCGTGTGAATTTGAAGGACACGTGAAGACTGGCTTGACAACGTTTTTGTTTTTAAGAAGAAACGTCGGTAAAGTCCCATTAAAAAAAAAACTTTCCATTTATGGCTAACAATAAACTAATTTTTATAATCGAAATTAATATTTTAAATTGAGATGAACGATAATTGATATTAAGAACATTTTCACTTAAAAACAATTCAAAAATGGATAATAGAAAATGAAAAAGAAAGTGATTTCTCATTCACATGTGAAGATTGATAAAGTCACGCAACTGTGAGATGTGACTTTCACCGCCACTTTTTGCCTTATCACTTAATACTTATCCCCAAATTCTCCTTAACTAATGGGCTCCTTCAATGGCCCAAATCCTCGTTCTAATTGGGCCTCTAGGCCCATATAATTATATCGTTTTTTTTTTTTTTTGTGACTAAATAATTATACAAACTTTATTATAAGCCTTTGTTATTGACATGTTAATAACAAGGAACAAAATAATCGGTTTAAATTAATAAGATGTTATTTAGCTAATAAAATAATGAAAAGTGTGTCTAAGCGAGTCACCAGACAGTGCGAGACACTGATTAAACTAACACTAGACTCTCTTTAGAGTAGAAGCGTTTTAAAATTATGAAGCTAACAATGATACAGGACTAAAGTAAGAAATATCTACTAGCGGTGGACTTGAACGATTACAGAAAATTTTAGGAGATATTAAGATACACTACTTTAACATAGTTTTCCAATTTTTGACTTAAGCTCTCGAGCTTAACGTTTACATTCCTAAACTTAAAACACCGACCCGAGTCGTAATCGACCCTACATGGACTTGATTTAAAGAGGGATATTATATTGTCAACGGAAAATAAAATAGTGTAGATATATTAGTTGAGCACACAGCCCTCCATTGATTAGACTATGCAGTGAAGCTTCTCCCCTTCCCTTGGCCAACAAGTTAACAAATTTTTTTGGAGAGAGAATTTGATGGCCTTGAGAAAAGGAAGAGACGTGCGAAGGGTTTAATTTCCAAAGCAGCAGAAAAAAGAGAGCCAACCCCAACTCCTGATTTCGCAATTAAGATATAAACAATTTTCGAAGAGAGATAGTGAGAGAGACGCTTTAATTTGCTGAAACAAAGATAAATACTTCCTTCTCCGTTATCCAAATACTCCAATACCGCTTTTCTTCCCTTATATTCTTCGCTTTTTAGATATTTTCCGGTGATTTCTTGGTTGTAATCTGGTTTCTGAATCTGTTTTTTCAACTAAATCGATTGATTTCATTGTTTTAACTTTTGGGGTTTCATTTTCTTGTTTAAATTTGAGCTTTCTTTCTGTTTTTATTTGATTCATTTTCAATTCTTTTGGCGGAGTTAAAAAGAGTTCGAAAAGTTCGTTTCAGCAAAGAAAAAGGGTACTTCGAATTTCGTATCGTTGTTCCCTGATTTTTTGTCTTCCTTTTATCTATTCCTTTTGTGGGTATTGAGATTTTGTTTACTGGGTTTGCACCCTTTTCGTTGCTTGGTGCAAATGACTCATGATCAGAATTGAGGCGATTTAGTTTCATTGATTTGGGAATTCTCTTCTGTTGATTATGTGAGTTCTTAAAAGGGTCTGATGATTGCTGATGATTGAAGCAGATGGAGAGTTGGAAATTGAATGTGTTGAAATTTAGAGGGGCTGTTTCTTTCCTTTTAGTAATTGCTGGTGATTGACAAGAAACAGGGTGGGGTTATGATTAGAGTGGAATTTGTAGATTATTTTGCACTTCGATTCTGGGGATGGGGAATGATAGAGCTGTAAAACAACAGGGAACCGTAGCGCGCTCTGGGCGTGCTCATGAGTTCATATCAAGTTCGTTTCGTGCTTTTTCTAGTTACATGAAGATTGTTTCTGCCGGTGCTTCGACTGTGGCACGGTCCGCTGCATCAGTGGCATCTTCTTTGGTGGATAAGGATGATGAAGCAAATGGCTTCCAGGTATGTGGTGGACTTTGATGAAATTCAAATACTTGCATGAATGGCTGCTTTCTTCATTGAATTTGTTGGAATAATGATGATTTCTGCTGAACCCATATGAATTTGTGGTTAAGTAGCGTTTTTCAGTGTGTATTTGTAATCTCCTAATAAAAATAAGGTTTTAGTTGCCTTGTATTTCAAACAAAGTTGTTTATCTTGCATGAACACAATATGAATGTAAACGTGTTCTGTCATCACGCATGTCCTGCTGGATCTTTTCCAACTTTTGCTGCTCTGTTGTGCGATGTAATTGTGTTTGTGGAATGTGTAGTCACTTTATTATGAGCGTTGTAGCCCATCCTTGTTCTGTTCTTGATTTGACAAAGGAGTTCTAATCTCTAAGTTCTTTATGGTTTCATAAATTTGGTAATTCTTGCCAATTTATTGTAGTTCGATCGGTATGATGTTGGCACCTTTTCATTTTGTTCTTGTTTTTCTCTGGATAAATGGGTGATTATTGATTCTTTGCTTCATTGTTATATGATAAAGGTGAACTGGGCTGGTTTTGACAAGTTAGAGTGGGACGACAATGTCGTTCGACGGGTTCTTCTGTTAGGTTATTGTTCGGGTTTCCAGGTTTGGGACGTTGAGGAAGCAAATAATGTCCAAGACCTGGTTTCTCGTTACGATGGTTCTGTTTCATATATGCAAGTGTTGCCCAGACCAATACCGTCGATGAGATCGGGTGATAAGTTTACAGAAAGTAGACCATTGCTGGTGCTTTCTGCTTATGGTTCCATTACTGCTGGTTTTAAAATTCAGGATCGAATAGCAACTTCTGGCAATGCAGCCGTCCCAAAGGTCCAGGAACCAGCCGATGCCGGTTTTATGCCTACTTTTGTTAGGTTTTATTCCTTGAAATCTCAAACCTACGTGCACGAGCTCAAATTTAGATCGGTTGTTTATTCTGTGAGATGCAGTCCCCTGGTTGTTGCCATTTCTCTCGTAACTCAGGTACGTTTGCTCACTCGAGCAGCTGCAGTCTTATTATTCGTCCTTGTAAAACATTAAACATAAATGTAGGCTGTTTGGTTGGGAATTTGAGTTCTTTTGTCCCACAGATACACTGCATCAATGCTACAACTTTGGAGACAGAACATATCATTCATACAAATCCTGTTGCTTCTGGATTTCTGTGTTCTGGAGGAGGTATCGGTTATGGACCCCTTGCGCTGGGATCCCGGTGGCTGGCTTATAGTGGAAGTCCTATCACCGCGTCGAATGTAGGGCGAGTGACACCACAGCACTTAAAACCTTCTGCTAGTTTATCTCATTCTTCTTTAAATGGAAGTTTAGTTGCTCACTATGCGAAGGAATCGAGTAAGCAACTTGCAGCAGGCCTTGTTACCATCGGTGATAAGGGTATTAAGAAGCTATCGAGATATTACTCGGAGCTCTTGCCCGATAGCAACAATTCTCATCAACATGGAGCTCAGGGTTTGAATGGTATTGGATATCTTAAAGATCATGTGGCTGATGCAGATAGTGTTGGAATGGTCTGTGTTTTCTCTGATTGAGTATTGATTATGCAATTGAATTGATTTAGCTATGATGGTAAAAAGATCTAAAGTGATAACATCTCGTACTTTTCGATATCAGGTTATTGTGAAAGACATTATCAGCAAATCGGTTATCACACAGTTTCGGGCTCATAAGAGCCCTATTTCTGCTTTATGCTTTGATCCGAGCGGCACCATCTTGGTGACAGCTTCTATTCAGGGTCATAACATAAATGTTTTCAACATTACGCCGAGTTCGAGTTCGAATTCATCTGTGTCTAGTACTGGTGCGTCTTATCGCCATCTCTACAGACTCCAACGAGGCTTCACTAATGCAGTAAGAGGAATGCAATTTTATTTCATTGTTGTGACGTTTTCAGTGTCGTAATCGTGTTTTTTGATCTATTATCAGGTCATACAAGACATCAGTTTCAGCTATGATAGCAACTGGATCATGATTAGTTCGTCCAGAGGGACGAGTCATCTCTTTGCTATAAACCCTGCTGGAGGACAGGTGAATTTCCCATCTACTAGTTCTGCTACCAGAACTGATGGGTTAGTAGTTCCTGCAAGACAAACCGTTCGGTTGGTCGATTCTGGTTTACACATGCCTCGTAAGCAGAATGAATGTGCTACTAGAGGTCCGATTACGCTTTCTGCTGTTAGTAGAATACATCATGGAAGTAATGGCTGGCGAGGCACTGTTAGTAGTGCTGCAGCTGCTGCTACGGGTAGAATCGGTTCTGTTACGGGAGCTATCGCTTCAGCTTTCCACAACTGCAAGGGAAATGCTTTGCATATGGACCATGGATCGTCCGAGGCTAGGTACCACATATTA